GGATACCTGGCCGCCTCTGCGGGCGCCTAGCTCACGTGCTGAGTAACTGCTCTTCCTTCGGCACTACTTTGATTTAGACCTGTCGATTTGACCAAAGTTCACACTGGCTTTAATTTGAAAACTGGTATTTCCTCTTTTTTGCGGCCTTGCCTCCCCTTCCCCCACTTGGCCAGCCCCCTTCCCTGCACCTTCCACTAGCACTCCTCTCTTTTAGACGTCCCTTTGCTCTCCTGCCTGAGAAAGGACTGGATTTCACACCTAATTAAAAAGATTGCATTGCCTGCTGTTTCCTTTCTTGTTCCTTTCTCTTAGTCACAGGCAGCGTTTTATTCTCATGCTAAGTCCTATCCGTGGACCCCTGCGGCTTGCCGGACAGGCAGGGGCAAAGTTCCTCTAAAGCTGAGCTGGGCCCCCTCACCACCCATTTCTGCAGGCAGATTTCACCTTAGGGACTCAGCCCTGCTCCAGCCCCATCCATTTGTGTGCTGGCAGAACCGTCACTGAAGAGTAGTGACAACCTCACTGTCCACAGGACATTCCTGGAATGTTCCCACTGAGTGTCATCACAGACTGGCTTTCTTGCTATGGTAGAAAGCCAGGTGGGTAGGTTATTCTTTAAAATATATGAAGAGAGCTATTTTTAATAACACTTTTCTCTTTGCCATCAGTTTTATTGTCATTCCACTGTGGGTTTCCTTAAGGCAATGTGGCATTTTCAGATACACAAAAACCTATGTAAAGTGTGTAGTTTTGAAGAGTTGGGATTTCCAGGGGAGAGAGGTTAGTTGGTTTGGGGGTGTTGGGAGGTTTTGTGGTTTTTTTTTTCTTGGTTATTTTGAATAGCCCAAATGCCTATTCAGTGCCAGTCTCGAAAAGAATGGAGTTAGCATTTTCACACCATTCCTTCCTATACAGTCCTGAATACCATCTAATCAAGATTTGTTTTCAATGGGGGGGACAGATCTACAGTAGGCTATTTCAAATTTATCCCATTGGAATCTATACATTAATGCCCATTGGATGAAAAGGACGTGCTCACAAAAGCCTGGACTTTGCCTTACTGTGGCAGAAACTTTCCCACTGTATTCGTCTTAAAAATAAAAGCAAGCCTGGGAAAGGAATTGCCTCGGCATTGTGTGCTGGAGGAGTGAGGCGTGCTTGAATGGAGAGGCAGCCTTTCCATCACATCTGTACCACTATCAGCAAAAGAGAAGTCAGCCTTTCCTGGCAGCTCACTGCGGTGGGGGCCCAGTGTACTGAGGGAGATGTTTAGAGTCTTGTCCATAGAAATCCAGAAGGCTCATACGGACAGCTTGTATCTTTGTAGCTTGTATCTTGTGTAGTTTTCCTTTTCTTCTGTGGTTCTTAGTGAAGTGACTGAAAACAGTAATGTAATAGTCATATTTGCTATATAGCAAATAACCTCATTATTTCGATTTGCTAAATCTTCATTCCAGCTTTGTCAGAGTTTTCTCATGAAATTGTGTATGTGTGAAAAAATGTAAGATAAAATAGATTTCTAGTACTCTCTCTCATCTCTTAAGCAATGTCTATCATAACTTTTAGTCTCTGTGTCTCTTTTTCAAATAAGAATGAGCGTAGTCCTAGATTCTCAGTTATTCATGTGTCACTCTTCATAGAACCAAGAAGTATGGGTTCTAATCCCAACTCTGCTACTTGTTTGCTTGATGCATACAACTTTGATCAAATCAGGTAGAAACTTTAGAACCATAACTTCCTCTTGCCTCACAGAAAACAGCAATAATGTCCTGAAATTTACCACAAAACCTGCAGAAACAAAGGAGGTCTTAAGTAGAGAATTTCATACTGTGTAAAATGCTATAAGGACATTAACAAGGGCAACAATTGGGAAGGGAATGCTCCTTAGAATCCACTAAAGGAAGTCAGCTGGATCCTCTACCTCTGCAGTGCAGTCCCTGTGAGTGGCACCACGGTCACATATGCATTGAAAAGATGTCTAAGAAGCCCACCTTGCCCAGAGATGGCGATCCTCCTGCCATCTGTGTACAGCCAGCTAACTGCTTAAATGAGACAGAGGCTTCGGTGACAGTGAAAGCATGTGTAGAAAGTAATACATTTGAGTCCCAGGACTAATTGGTTTATTTCTCATAAGTAAATAGACATATTGTACACGCCGACATGCACGTGGACATGTTTAAGTTAGATGGCCGCAGCTACAGTGAAGTCCCCAGGCCTAGAAGCAGGAAGGCTGGAGGAAGTCTTTAGCTTTCACTTGAGAGCTGATGGTTGCAGCAGCTGAATGGACCCCTGATGTGGCACACAAGCCAATTTCTCTGGGGTTGCTTACTACAAGATACAGAGATCTAGGTTGCAATCCGTGTGAGGCTGCTTTGTTCTGAAAGCCCACTTCCTTGGCCTCTCTCAACCTGATAGCTTGGTTTTGGATTCATACTCTTCTCCCCATTGTGACCAAATCATAACAGAAAAAACCTTAAGGGAGTGTCCTAGTTGGATTTCTGTTCCCGTGATAAAGACCATGTTCCAAATTAACTTGGTAAGCAAAGGGTTTATGCTGTTTTACAGGTTAGAGTCCGTTACACGGAGGAAAGTTAAGGCAGCATCTAGAAGGGAAACTGAGATCTGAATATATTGTATATAAAAAAATTTTCAAGAAAAAAAATGGAAGTAAGGAAGGACAGAGGAAGTGAGCCTCCGGGGAGGAATGAAGCAGAACAGCAGGAGCTCTGTGTGGTCCTTTGAATAAGAATGGCCCACATGGGTTGAGGGATTTGAATGCTCAGTCCTCAGGGAGTGGCAATCCTTGATAATGATTAGGGGCTCTGGCTTTGTTCGAGTAGGTGTAGCCTTGTTGGAGGAAGTGTCTCCCTGGGGGAGGGCTTTGGAGTTTCAAAAGCCCAAGCCCCGCTCAGTATTGCTCTCTTCCGGCCTAAGGATCTAGACGTGGAACTCTGAGCCGGTTCTCCAGCACCAAGTCTGCTTGTGTGCCGAAAGGTCCCCGCCATGATGATCATGGACTAAACCTCTGGAACTGTAAGCCAGCCCCACTTAAATGCTTTATGTTTAAGAGTTGCCGTGGTCCAGGTGTCTTTTCCCCCGCTATAGAGCACTAAGACAGCGTGCCTCCCAACTGCTTCTCAGCCTCGGTTTTCACACCAAGACCATCTGCCCAGGGCTCTCCTTCATCAATTATTAGCAATCAAGAAATAGCCCCCATAGCACCAGGTTAATCTGATGGAGGCAGTTTCTCAATAGGGATTCCCTCTTTCCTGGTGTCTCTGGCTTGTGTCAAGTTGACAATAACTAAGTACCACTGGGAGGAAAGATTTTTCTTGGGTCGTGGTGTCAGAGGGTTCAGCCCAGGTGAACTTGGTCCCGGTGTAACAATGGACATATACGGCAGGCGTGGTTCTTCACTGCATTATGTACAGAAAGCGGAGAATTCGAAAAGCCACAGCAAGATCAGCCCCAAAGGGCCCCTTGACCGGTGATTACTTCCTCCAGCCAGGCCTGCCCTCCTACCTTTAACCACCTCCCCAAATAGTGTCTTACTTTTAATCTACTAAGGGCTTAATCAGCTCAGTAGGCCAGACCCTCATAATCTAGTCATGGACGATAATTCCCTTTCGGACAGAACCAGAAGTGTTCCTCACTAGTCTTTCAGGTACCTCTTAATCCAGTCATGCCTCTGTCCAAAGGGACCATTGCAGATTGTGAAGTGACTGTGTGGTTCTGGCTGAAGAATGACTTGTAGAAAGGTATCTTGAGAGACCCGAGAGGGAGGTAGAAGATGGGGCGTGCCTGGGACTGTGCCGTACACGTCTGTTTTCTTCTCAGCATGGAGCCATGCTAGCATTAGCACCTGGCTAGACAGCCTGAAACAGGGGGATGGGAGTTGGTCAGCCGCACAGAGATTATTCTCTTCCTCCTGGGGGCTGTTTAATAGTTCTACAAAACATCCTATTGCTCAAAGCAAGCTTGTATCCCACCTCTGGATCCCTTCCTGCTCTCCTGGCCTGGCTATTAACAGTGCTCTCTTTCACTCTGAAAGTGGCTATTTTGAATAATAAATGTAATCACCTAGTGTGACCACACTCAGCACATCCAGCTCCAGCCTTTTAAGACATTCTTCCCGAGTACTTTAATTCCAGTACTCAGTACTCGGGAGGCAGAGGCAGGCAGATCTCAAGGCCAGCCTCGGCTATGTAGTGAGTTTCAGGACCGCCTAAGTGACATGGTGAGAACCTATCTCAAAAAAAAAAAAAGAAAGGAAGGAGGGAAGGAAAGAAAAATCCTCATTAAGCATCAGCAGCACCTGTATCACAAAGAACCGTCCTTGAAAATGCTCAGGCTGTCAGGGACTGTAAGCAGAGTGCAGGTACTGAAAGCAGGAAGAAAATGCAGATTGCTTTCTGCATCTCTCCCAGTATCTGGAAAGCATGGTGGAAGCTATTTGCTAAACATCTTAGTCTGGGTTGAATTTTCCTAGAATTTTTACTTATATGATATGGGATATGATAACGTGCCATGTATACTAACTAGCAAGGAATTAATTGTTAAACTATGAATACTGTTACTGCCTATCAATAAAAATAAGAAACTTCAGTAGTAACTTGAGGAGAGGTGAAATTAAAATTTCCCAGAGGACTTGGGATTCAGTCTGGCCAAAGTAAGGTGGAGTGTTCCCTAAATTCAAATACATCTTGGTCTACTCTGTTCTTCATGTGGTAGCTACAGAAATAGCAGGCAACAACCTATCTGGTTATCCTTTGAGAAGACAACTTCTGAATTTTTTGGGTTCCAGTATGAATGTGATATCCCATCTAGCTGGAACACTAAAACCAGAGGTGGAGAGAAACTCAAGGCGTTGGTTGCCTTGGCAGTGTGAGCAGCCTGACCAACTTGTGTGCATCTTCAAAGTTCTGGCTACGAGTGTTAGACATCCAACCAGCGAAATCTGACCATGTGCCCTGTCTTGTATTTGCCTCACTGTACTGCAGGTGACATCAGTTGCAAGGGGATGACCGAGCGCATTCACAGCATCAATCTTCACAACTTCAGCAATTCCGTGCTCGAGACCCTCAACGAGCAGCGCAACCGTGGCCACTTCTGTGACGTGACGGTTCGCATCCACGGGAGCATGCTGCGCGCACACCGCTGCGTGCTGGCAGCCGGCAGCCCCTTCTTCCAAGACAAGCTGCTGCTGGGCTACAGTGACATCGAAATCCCATCGGTGGTGTCAGTACAGTCGGTGCAAAAGCTCATTGACTTCATGTACAGCGGAGTGCTGCGAGTCTCACAGTCGGAAGCTCTGCAGATCCTCACAGCTGCCAGCATCCTGCAGATCAAAACAGTCATAGATGAGTGCACACGCATCGTGTCTCAAAATGTGGGCGATGTGTTCCCCGGCATCCAGGATTCTGGCCAGGACACACCAAGAGGCACACCAGAGTCAGGCACATCTGGCCAGAGCAGTGACACGGAATCAGGCTACCTGCAGAGCCATCCACAACACAGTGTGGACAGAATCTACTCGGCACTGTACGCTTGTTCCATGCAGAATGGCAGCGGTGAGCGCTCCTTCTACAGCGGTGCAGTGGTCAGCCACCACGAAACTGCACTCGGCCTGCCCCGTGACCACCACATAGAAGACCCCAGCTGGATCACACGCATCCATGAGCGCTCGCAGCAGATGGAGCGCTACCTGTCCACCACCCCTGAGACCACACACTGCCGCAAGCAGCCCCGGCCCGTGCGCATCCAGACTCTCGTGGGCAACATCCACATCAAGCAGGAAATGGAAGATGACTATGACTACTATGGGCAGCAAAGGGTGCAGATCCTAGAGCGCAATGAATCCGAGGAGTGCACGGAAGACACTGACCAGGCCGAGGGCACCGAGAGCGAGCCCAAAGGTGAAAGCTTTGATTCCGGGGTCAGCTCCTCTATTGGCACTGAGCCTGACTCAGTGGAGCAACAGTTTGGGGCAGGAGCCACAAGGGACGGTCAGACGGAACCTGCCCAACCTGAGCAGGCAGCAGAAGCTCCAACTGAGGGCAGTGTCCAGCCAAACCAGCTAGAAACAGGTGCCTCCTCTCCAGAGAGAAGCAACGAGGTAGAGATGGACAACACAGTGATCACTGTCAGCAACAGCTCCGATAAGGGTGTCCTGCAACAGCCTTCAGTCAACACATCCATTGGGCAACCATTGCCAAGTACCCAGCTCTATTTACGCCAGACAGAAACGCTCACCAGCAACCTGAGGATGCCTCTGACCTTGACCAGCAACACACAGGTCATTGGCACAGCTGGCAACACCTACCTGCCAGCCCTCTTCACTACCCAGCCCGCGGGCAGTGGCCCCAAGCCTTTTCTCTTCAGCCTGCCACAGCCCCTGACAGGCCAGCAGACCCAGTTTGTGACAGTGTCCCAGCCCGGCCTGTCCACCTTTACTGCACAGCTGCCAGCGCCACAGCCCCTGGCATCATCTGCAGGCCACAGCACAGCCAGTGGGCAAGGTGAAAAAAAGCCTTATGAGTGTACTCTCTGCAACAAGACTTTCACAGCCAAACAGAACTACGTCAAGCACATGTTCGTCCATACAGGTGAGTGCTGCTTCTCTGAAGACTTGGCAACAGGGTATTTAGGGCTGTGGGAGGGGCAGAACAGGACAGCAGGTAGAAGGGAAGGGTTGGAGTCATCTTTCCAATTTCAAAGAAACCCCACCGTGGACCCCTTCTAGAAGTCTAGCTATACCCGACATAGGAATGAAGTACCCCAAATCATAAACACCCTATATGGAAAAAGGATGTTGTAGGAGTGTGCAGCCTGCAGAAGAGAAGAGTCAGGGCATCATATCCAACACCTAAGTATTGACGTGGTATAGGTTCAAAGCTTGCTCTTTGGAGGCAGATTGCTCAGCCTGGCCCAGTTACTTACTACTAAACTGTGGCACCTCGGAAGAAATCACTTAACTACTTTAAAGAGAGAGAGAGAGAGAGAGAGAACAGTAGTGATGTCCTTGTGCTGCTTCGAAGAATTATATTAACATGACTTACAGGTGTTCCTAGCATAGTAAGCACTGTATAAGTTGTAGCTATTGTTACCATTATTAAGATGGCTGGGAAGAGGAGACATTAAGTTTATTCTATTTAGCTCAAAAAATAAAATAAAATGGAACTGGGCAACTGAAAGCTCTACAGAGTCTTTCAACTAAATAAAAGAAAAAGTTGAACAAGCTGCTCAGAGCTGTTTGCTTCTGCAAAGGACTGGGCTTCTGTAATTTAAAGAGAGGATGGATTGTTTCATAAAGATACTGTCCAGAGTACTTGGGAAAGATAATAGTTCCCTGGACTCTACCACGCCCGAGACAAAGGTCTGCAGACCTCCGAGGCTGCCCTTTCCCTAGCTCTATAGTAGGACACAACTAGAAGTTCCTCCATATAAGAGATCATCTGTGCGGTTATGGCTTCACAGAGGTTCTCTTAGGACTAAAGTCACTGAGCACAGCAACAATCGTATTTGAAATTCTTACAAGAGTCATTCTCTTGGCAAAAATTTGAGTCTAGAATAATTATGTTAAATCAAATCATTTGTCAGGGAATACTTACATACTTGAATTCTAATACAGAGGAAATATTCACTCCTCAGAGCAGCCTAATTTCTCACACCAGGCTAACACAAATCTAAGAGATTGAGTATAAAGCACATTTATATAGACTATACTTTATATAGAGAGATACTTTAAATATATATTTATATATAATGCACATTTATATAGAGTATACTTTACATGTAAATACTTTATACTATATATAATATATAAAGTATATATATAAAGTACATTTAAGTAGAGTACTAGAAGAAAAGGGAAGACATTGATAAATAAGAACACTCCATATGCAATTGAAAAACTGAAATAGCACAATGCCTAAGCTGAACTTTGCCCTCTTTGTAGTTCAGTCTAACTCAGGATATGATGTTAGATGTTGTGTGGCTGTATGCCGATCACTTGTGCTTGAGTTTTAGTTTTCACACCTCCTAATACACACAGAGATTCATTGTTGAACTTAGACAGAAAATTAGGTAGTGGTAAGTCACTATGTTTACTTAGGGCAAGGGCTAATGCAGTGATAACCTGAAATCAATCGAATTAACCAAACAACATTTTTTAGTAGTGGAGTATTATATTGCAAATGTGCTCTCAAGTAGTTTTATCCTTTTCATCAGAAAACAGCTGATTTAACAGCCATGAAAATTAAGAATAGCACAAGTGGAAGAGCCGTTTCTGCAAGTATCTCTTTAGCCAAAGTTGACTTTGTTAATCTTGGATCGTGTACATATCTTCTCTCCTCTTTAGTGTCTTCTATAGTCCCATCAGATAGAAAACATATACATCCTGTTAGATCATGTATTAAAATAAATTTGTAACATAGAACTCACATCCTACCCCAAATTGTCTTTTCACTGTATAAATGCATTTCTCCAGTAGATTCACCAAGGAACCCTGTAGTTAATCCAAGTAAGTGGCTTTCCCTGTGATAAAAATCAGCAATGGTTTTGCACGCCTATTTATTACAGCAGCAAAAAGCTATAGGTAAAGTCATTCTTATAAACCTGAATTGTATTCAAAGTGTGGTCTGCACAATGCAGTAAATGATTAAGGGCCTCAGTAAATCTGAAGCTGTTTGAGTATGTGTGTGTATACATATGTATATACATGTATATGTTTGAGTGTATGATATACATACAGACACAGGCACTACTTCTGGAAACAGTCTTGTGCCTATGCCAACCAGACATTTAGTTCTTTTTTTTTTTAGATCTATTTATTATGTATACAACATTCTGCCTCCATGTATGCCCGCACGCCAGAAGAGGGCGCCAGATCTCATTACAGATGGTTGTGAGCAACCATGTGGTTGCTGGGAATTGAACTCAATACCTCTGGAAGAGCAGCCAGTGCTCTTAACCACTGAGCCATCTCTCCAGCCCCAGGCATTTAATTCTTTAAAAAACAACTTTTGCCCTTTCATTCTAGAGTCATTTGGCACTATCAGTTTAGAAAGTTCATCTATATTTCAATATTGAACATGGAAGCAAAAGAATTAGAGAAAAAGAATGCTAGTACCGGTCTTCTTTCATGGGACAAAGCAGGATTCGTTCTCACTTCTCCCATCAAAAGACAAAACTGAGGTCAAAATAAAGAAGTGAGAGAGATCAGAAGACAGAGGTGGAGGATGTTAGAAGGATAAGCCTTGGTGTTGCCATGGATATCAAGGCAAGCAACTTAGCAGGGTATCATATATTTTATCTGGAAACTCCAGGTGGAACTTTCCTTTAAGATCCAAACTTAGGGCATTTTACTTTAAAAAAAAAATCTATAAATGAATATGGGCTAGCATATGTAGTTTCTTAGCAAATGTTTGTTGAGTGAGTATGTAAATGAATGTTCAAAATGTGGACATGCTTTCCAGGAGAGCTTAATTCAAGGAACTTATACATAAATGCATTCTTTTCTCTGCACGACTTTTAGATTTCTTTCTTTAAAAAAAATAGCTTTAGAATATATTGTGGGGCATCTATATTCCCACTTGTGGTTTTTAACCAACAAATTATAGTTCTTTAGGTATTTTTCTGAATCATATTATCAGCAGCCCATCCATTGGTGATGCTTTTTAGCCATTGATATCCTTTGTACTTAAGATAATTCTGCTAGTTTCTTTGGGAGCACAGCTTTTTCAGCCATGAATTCAGTGTGGAAAGAGTAATAGCTGTAAAAGCAATAGGGTTCTAGGAGAGACACAAGACAGTGGTTTGACCATCTGTATAGGAACTGAACTATTAATTCTGTCGAGACAGTGGGTATCTTTTTAGAGGAGGAAAGCCACTTTGTAACTGAGTGACTTTAAGCAAGTTCTAGTTTGAACCTGAATCACAGTTTTTCAGGTCTTAATAATAGGTTACTCTGAGGATTAAGTAATGGATACAAAAGCACTAGACTATAAATGCTGTATCATTATCACAGTCACTTAGGAATATATATCACAGAAATACCATGCATTTTCCAGCATGTTCTAGAGGGAAGAACTGCTCACAGTGGAAGGAGGAGTCAGCAAGGGTTGGGCACTTACTTATATTACTCTCTCAGCTATTGTTCATTTGCTGGCTGATCTTTAGAATATTAGCACAGAAGTAACAGGAGCTAGCATTTTCTGGGGTGTTAATACTGCCCCACTCATAATACCACTGTAAGAGGTCAGGTGATGTAGACCAAGTTCCCCAGGTATTTAAAATTCTACTTAACATCAGACTACCTGGACTGTCAGTGTAGCCACAGAAGTTTGTGAATGTGTGGGTTACCAGTTGGCAGTCTTTCTTAGACAGTCAGCAGGGTGCAGGCAGAAAGGCCAGCAGGTGATGGTACCAGCTCTATCCTGTTGCTACATGCCCTCCTTCACCAGACACCTCCAGGAGAGCAGCTACGCAGCCATTGACATCATGCTGTCGGGCTGCAGCTCACCCTCACTTTTAGTACCATTCCTTTTCCGGTTTTCTGGTCCAGTCTTCATTTTCCCCATTCACTGGACCTGCACTCCCCAGAACACCTCTGCTCCCTCGTCCTCTGCCTTCCTTGCTGTTTTATGTCTTACCAAGACCCATGCCTTGGTTTTCTCACCCCCTCCTCCACTATCCACACTGTGCTCACCCAAAGAATAGTAGGCATTGTGGTACAGCAGAAGATGGAAAGGCGGAGACAGTGGGAGGCATAGGTAGAGCAGAAAGCTGCATTTACTGTTCTTCACACAACCCAGGAAAACCCTGACGAGAATAAGAAATAATCAGTAGAGTTCTTGCTGAGCCCCCAGTGCTAAGATCACAATGCAGACTTGGGGTGGTTGGACCTGTTATGATGGCTTTCACTGAAATGGCGTGAACCCTCTGTACCCACTTACTATCATTATCTTTCTTTATTTCTCTCCTTGTCTGTCATAATGGAGTTAAGTATCAGAGCTGACCCTTGAGGGGTTAAAGAGCAGGCATTGAAAAATTGAGCAAAACATAAACTTTTACCACTCCATCCTTGAAAAGCCAGTATAGGCCTCTGCCCTGGTTCTTCACTTGCTGGTTGGCTTCTCAGCCTCCAGTGCTCAGTTACTGACAGGCAGGAAATACCCTGTCTATGTTTGGGTTGACATTTTGTTCTTGGTACCACGTGTTCCGTTAACATGAATAAGTAAGAGTGGACTGTATGCCTCGCTTTTAATTCCTAGCTTCACTAAAACAGCCTGCTTTGGGAATCATCTGAAAATTTCTTTCCTTCTTTCTTTCTTTCTTTCTTTCTTTCTTTCTTTCTTTCTTTTTATTTTGGTTTGGCTTTTAACTCAGTACTCACTTTCTTATGCAGTGAAGTGATTTCTCAGTTGGTTTACTTTATCCTCATTTCCTGCAGACTGGATGGAACCGTTTAGCTTTCCTTAAAATGACCTTTACTTTGTACCAAGTGCCTCCCCAGTTTCCCAAACAAATCCACACACATATGCTTTTGGAACTATTATTAAGTTATTGATAAGGAAACCGAGGCATAGAAAGCCTAGATAACGTGCCCAAGTCACTCAATCAAGAAACAATTCATATCTGAGTCCTCCAGAAGGGAGGACTCCTTGTGCCCGCTGCCCTTCGTGTTGTGGCTCACATTTCCTCTTGGCATTTTGTGACCCTTCCTAACTGTCCAGACTTGCTGATGTGAACTGTAGGCTTAAATCTGGAAAGCCATCTGTGAATGTTAATCACGTTCCCCTCACGTTTCTCTCTTGGAGAGGCACAGTCTACAGACCATTCATTTCGTGATTACTGCCCCCTTTCCTTTAAGGTTTGCCATAAGTGACATGTAGGGATGGAACGTTGAATGATGCTGTTTGAAATCCTTCCACAACAAGAAGAGCCAGTCCAGGCATATGTGATGGGAAAATACATCTCGGTCATCAGGCAGTCCCTGAAATGGCCAGCTCCAGCATCTCAGTGCTGGAGTAACTACAGAGAGTACCTTCCTCAGAGTAGCTCCCAGGTGCCTTGTGCGTACTTTCCTGTGGCAGGCTAGAGAACTGGATTCTTTGACCTGTTTAAAAATGTGGAGTTGCCAAAGCATTGAGTGATTAAGCAGGTTGCCCTCAGGTCATTTGCTGACAAGGCCAGGTCTAGAGGCCTCAGGGGTGGTGGACCACCCTGAGATGAAGATCAGTAAATCCACAGAGCCTTAGCAAGTGCTTGGTCCAATCTATCACTCACAGAAGACAAACAAACCCAGAGAGATGAAAACACTTAAAAAGCCCAGGGTCACACAAGTAATTACTGGCATAACCATGCTACATGCATACAAACAGTGTGCATACGTATGAGATGGAGGGAAAGATGGCCACTGTGAAGAATCAATTTATGGTTGGATTAGAAGGGTGTGAAAGGAAAGAGCCTTGGTGGTGACCTTGCCTAGAGGAAGAGCCCAGCCAGAGGTGAGAGCTGCAGACAGCCAGAGCATTTTAACAGGGAGATTCACCTTTCCACCAGCCAGAATACCATCTGCAGTTTAAGGCACGCTTCCCATTACAGGTGGCAGGTGGACATGTTTGAAGAGCTAGTTGGGCAGCTTCTAGTAGCAACTGTAAATTGTACCGAGAGTACAAGGATGGCAAAGAGCAGCTGAGTAGCAAGCATGTTTACTGCTGACAGAAATGCCTCAACTAAAAATAACATGCATGACTGTCTGTAAGGGGATCTCTCCTTTACAGAAACTTTACCAGTGTAAACACTATGCGTAGGCTGAGATCTTTAGCAAGCTGGATGTATTAGTAAAAAGTCTTCCCTAGATTCTACTGTTTTAATCTAAAAATTATTCTTTTAGCCCTAGAAGCCTCTACATCATGAGTCCTCATTAGAATGGGGAATTCTAATTCTTTAATCCAAGCCCCCTTATTTTAGACAATACCAAGAAAATTGTCTAGTGAGAGAAAGTTCCACAAGGTGAAGCGTGAGTATGAAGCATTCAGTGCAGACTGGCCTGATGAAGGTCCAGTGAATAGGCCTTTGTTTTCTTGCTCTCGTGCCCACGGCCTCCTTCAGAATGGGAAATGAGAAGAACACTCAAGGTCCTGTGGAAATGTGAGCTAACTCAAGTTTAAGGAGTAGATCCCTGGTCCAGCTGTACATTTCAGATGTGGAAACCTTACCTTAGAGGGTTTCGAGCTTGAGGTTTTGCACACGATGGAGCAAATGCTACTTCAGGCTGTCAGTAATGAGGTGGAAGAGGTGGATCACACGCTTTAGAGAGTGTGTGTCAACCATCAAAATCAGAAAGCAGCAAGTGCTGAGAACCAATACTACTGCTGATAAAAGCTAGTCTTTAAGCAGTTATGCAAAGTTGTGCCCCAGACCCATAGACTTTAATTCTAGAAGGTCGCTCATGTGACTGTTCTTACCTTAAGATTTTTAGCTAGGGGCTGGAGAGATGGCTCAGAGGTTAAGAGCACTGACTGCTCTTCCGGAGGACCTGAGTTCATTTCCCAGCAACCACATGGTGGCTCACAACCATCTGTAATGAGATCTGGTGCCCTCTTCTGGCCTGCAGGCATACATGGAGGCTGAACACTGTATACATAATAAATAAATTAATCTTTAAAAAAAAAAAA